TGGCCTGCTGTGCTCATCCAGCTCTACACCTGGTTATTGCTGATTTTATACCTGCTTTTTAAAAGGCTTAGCTCTAATTGTTAGATATACTCGCTTGTTCTGGACTCCTTGACCAAATGAAGAGGCTTCTTCTTTCTGCCATACTGAAACCTATTAACATTTCAAACACCTTGATTAAAGCACCTCTCAATCTCTGAAACTCCAGGATTCAGTTCTTACTTCAAGCTGAAACGCATGAAACTACGTGGTCGCTGCAAAGTTAAATATCTCAACAATGCACACTGCAGTACGAAGGGCACCTGAACACATTTCAATCCATATACTCAATTTTAGTTGACAAACCATCAATTATACAACCTAATGCAAATGGACATGCATTACCGTGCAAATGTTGGCCAAGAAGCATCCAAATCGTGTCCTCTAGAAGCCAAGTCAAACTGCACTTCATTCAGCTCGTACAGGTGATCAGTAATGTCAGAACTGAGATGAGACATCAGCAACGGGCTTCGGGCATAGTACCAGTCACTTTAAAAATTGAGGACAGAAAATAAGTCAGCAAGATCACAAACAAAACTTGTATCACAAAAAACAGAAGTTTTCACGAAGTGTTCTTGATACACTTAGAAAACTAACAAGAGACTCTTCTTGTTACCCTTGTTTACCAGGAAGATAATTATCACTCTTGCACAAATAGCAATATAGAGTGACAATTTATCCAGGTCACTTCCATCGCCTTATCCCAGGTTGGTTATTTTGTTGGAAATTAAACTAGTCCTCACTATATTTGTTTCCACAGACCAAACCTGCACACAAATTCTCATCATGAAAATCATAGAATGATACCACTCAAGAAGCCCATTGTATGTTAACCAGCCCTTCAAAAGAGCCATTTTCCCATTGGTATTCATCTAATTCCCTTTTGAAAGTTATGATTGAATCTGCTTCCATCACTCTTTCAGACAGTGCATTCCAGGTTATAACCACATGGTGCATTAAAAATGCATTTTCATTCCTCAAAATTGGGCTACATAATCCACATTATTTATAAAAGTTCAAAAAGAATATATGACAGAAGCAGGAAGGATTAAATATCCACAAGGTTCATAAAAATAAAAGGAAACATAAGAACTTGAGCAAGCCATTTGGCCCCTAGTCTGTCCCATTCCATTTGAATGTCACTGATTGAAGCTTAACTCTATGGGCCTTGCACCAAATTCATTGATACCTTAACTGTTTCTTTTTAAAAAAAGCCTCATCTTAGAAATAATTGAAGCAATTATGAAAGTTGGACAGTGATATGGCAAATGGGTTTTAATATAGGTAAATGCAGTGTAACTCATTTGGCATAGGTAGCAGTGTGCATGTAGCTATCAATAAATAAAGCATGAATTGGGATTATCACACTGAAGCAGCTGTTGATCAAAATGGGAAGTAGGAGCAGCACGAAGGCATCTGGCTATGTCTTGACAAGTTATTCTGCATGGATGAATGGGAAGGAGAATCTGCAGCTTTGTTCAGTTCAGCCCAGAAATGGACACTTCAGAGTCATAAACACTACAGCAAAGAAACAGACCCATCGGTCCAACTCGTCCATGCCAATCAGATATCCTAAGTTAATCTCGCTCCATTTGCCAGCATTTGGCCCATATCCCTCCAACCCTTCTTATTCATATATCCATCCAGATACCTGTTAAATGTTGTAATTGTACCTGCCTCCACCACCTCCTCTGGCAGCTCCTTCCAAACACACCACTCTCTTGAAATTCAAATCTGTCCTCTGTTACCTTAAACTTATACCCTCTAGTTTTGGATCCTGCTACCCTAGGGGAAGACCTTGGCTATTCACCATATCCATGTCCCTCATGATTCTATCAACTTCTTTAAAGGTCACCCTTCATCCTTCGATACTCCAGGGAAAATAGCCCCAGCTTATTCAGCCTCTCCCTATAGCTCAAACCCGCCAACCCTGGCAACATCCTCGTAAATCTTTTGTGAACACTTTCAGGTTTAACAACATCTTTCCTACAGAAGGGTGATCAAAATTAAATGCAGTATTCCAAAAAATGGCATAACCAATGTCCTGTACAGCCACAAGATGACCTTGCTAGTCCTATATTTAATGCACTGACCAATAAAAGGCAATGACCAGGATAAGTTCAGATATTATGTAAGTAACTGTGATTAAATTTATCCAAGCTATTTTACTGGAGATAAATTAAACACAAGTGTAATACATGTTTATGCAACAATGAACAGTGCAGATAAGGTTTAAGCTGGGAAAACAAGGACCAGAAAGATAGCTGGGGCAAGACAAGGCATGAGAAAACAAACAAACTTCTGTTCCTGTTGGCTAATAGATGTGTAACAGACTGTCACAACCAAATTCGCTTAAAGTCACTCACTGTCTTCAGAGCAGTTGTATTGTCAGATTTAGATTGATGTCAACTGTGTTCCTTTTCTTTATTTCCCCAGTGGAAAACAATAAAATGAAAAAGGTATTGTTGTAAAGGAAAGAGGAGCCAGCCTTAGAAGGGGTCCAGAGAAGGTTCACAAGAATGAAGGGCTTGTGATACGAGGAGCAGTTGAGAACTCGGAGTCTGTACTTGGAGTTTAGAAGGATAAAGGGAGCATCTTATCGAAACTTATAGAATACTGAGAGGTCTGGATAGAGTGGACAAGGAGAAGTTGTCTTCATTCATAGGAAACTAAGAGACTAAGACCTGAGGGAACATCCTCAGAGTAAAGGCATAACCCTTTAGAATTGAGATGAGGAGGAACTTCTTCAGCAGGAAGGTGGCTAATCTGTGGAACTCATACTGCAGAAGGCCAAGTCATTGAGTGTATTTAAGACAAAGATAGTCAGGTACAAAAGAAAAGTTGCTGGAAATGCTCAGCAGGTTTGACAGCATGTGAGAAGGAGAAAACAGAGTTAGCATTTCAGGCCCGGTGATCCTTCCTCAGAACTCAGAACTTTTTTCCTTCACAGATGCTGCCAGACCTGCTGAGCTTTTCCAGTAACTTTGCTCTTGTTCCTCATTTACAGCATCCACAGTTCTTTCGGTTTTTATTGAAGATAGACAGGTTCTTGATTAGAGACAGTAAGAACTGCCGATGCTGGAGGCAGAGATAACACAGTGTGAAGCTAGAGGAACACAGCAGGTCAGGCAGCATCAGAGTCGAAACATCAGCTTTCCTGCTCCGCTGTTGCTGCCTGACCTACTGTGTTCCTCCAGCTCCACACAGGTTCTTGAACAGTAAGGGTTTCAAGGGTTATGGGGAGAAGGCAGGAGAATGGGGTCGAGAAACATATTAACCATGACCGAATGGAGGAACAGACATGATAGGCCAGTTGGCCTATTTCTGCTTCCATATAGATGGAGCAGGACTGATTGGACAAAAGGCATATTCACTTTCTGCATTTTTTAAAACAAATATTCTGTCACTGCATGCACTAGTGTATTCAATACCCTTCAACAACATTTAACTGATGAAAGCAATTAATGAAAAGTACACTTAACAACATGATTAATATAATTATGAAATAAATAATTTCAAGACAATAATTTGTTGTGAGACAAACTCTTGGAGCTTATTTTCAAGCTCCCCAAATTTTCCTGTAGATGGAACTGAGAAACTTTGTTTTTCTATGATAAAGAAGTGTAATTGATTTGCAAAATGCCTCATCAGGGATAGTTCAGCACAAGTCCTAATAAACAACAGCACAGCAGTAAAACAAAGAACTGTCTGGAGGACAAGGATGCAGCAATTAAGCTGCAGTTATACAAAACCCTGGTTAGACCCCACATGGAGTACTGTGAGCAGATCTGAGAGTTAGGGCCAGACTGCTCAGGAGCATTAGTAGGAAGCACTAAGGGTAGGTGTTTGGAATTCTCTCCCACACACGGCAATGGATGCAAGGTCAGTCATCAATTTTAAATCTGAGAAAGATAATATTTTTGCTTAACAAAAACTTAAGGGATATGGGTCAAAGGCAAGTGTATGAAATTAGGCCACAGATCAGCCACGATTTTATTGAATGGTAGAACATGTTGGAGGAGCTGAACGACCTACTTCTGTTCCCATGTTCTTAACTGGCTGCAAACAATCAAATTCTTCGAATTTATTCAACCATGGAATGTGGGTGTCACTGGCTAGACAAATATTTATCAACCATTCCTAACTGTACTTGAGAAGGTAGTGGTGAGCCACCTTGTTGAAATGCGGCAGACCGTGAAACGTACTTAGAATCAGAATTGTTAAGTAATGAGTTCCTGTATTTTGATGCAGTGACACTGAAAGAGCACCTGTATATTTCCAAATAAGGAGGGGATTTTGCAAGTGGTCGGTGGTGTTCCCATATGCCCACCTCCCTTGTTCATTTAAGTGGTTGTGTCATTGGCAGGGGCATTATATACACACCAGCCTATAGATTATTAGATTTTACCACTTCCTTTTTTTTGCCAAATACTCCCTCCCCTTTCCTGGAATTCCAATCTGATGAATACTTCCACAGATACTGTCTGCTAACTCACACAACTGGTCAGATATTAAGTAGGAGTCTAGACATTGTAGTATACCAAATAACCCAACTGCACTAGGTGTTACAGCTAAGTCTGCAGACACTCAACATCCAATCATGTGCATTCCAGCAAGGTGCAGTGAATAATGATTGAGTGCAGGAATATAACTGTGATTGATTTCTATCTTCCCTGGCTCAGGGCACTGGGTATCAGTTAGCCTTGTTCACAATAGAGATCAACCCAAGTATTCAGTCAGCGTTAGCTCACTAATGAATCAATCTACGGTTCAGTTTTTTAATAAAAATTGCTTCAGATTCTAATCTATGTTTAGACAAAAACGATACCAGAAATATTGTAAATTGTAGCTGCTATATAGTCCCTAATGCACACCCAATAAACACAATGTAAGGAGAGATTTTTAGTTAGTTATTGAAGAAGAACGTAGAATAATGCTCACAAAACATTTCTTGTAACAAGCTTAAATATGAGGCAACACCTGAATTATTATTAAACACTTTAATAAATCCCTCTTTTGGGGTGTAATTTGAACAATTCAAATGTCTGCACCTCACCTTGTGACTTTTACATTCATCAAGCATTGTTGAACTGTATCAGCCAGGCGTTGATGGACCAAGGAATACCGAATAAATGCTCGACCTTTCCCAAGGGAAGTTTTCAGCTTTATTTTAAAAAAAGCATCATTTAATTGAAAGAATTTATCATTCTTAGATAAAAGCAGTCCCACAATGAAAAGGCATAACCACACCATCATCAATGCTTATTAATGTCCATTTAGGGGCCTCACCCTGCCAGGGCGAGCAGCAGTGGGGAGGGGGAAGGTGAAGAACTCACCTTGGAAGGAGCAGAAGGAGCAAACCCACGCGGGGTTTTTTGTTTGATTGCACCGGTGACTGATCGAGGGGCTCGGCATCGGGAAGGTGAGGCATACTCAGCCACAGCCTGGCCCCCTTCCAGATCCCTCATTTCATGACATCTTCTCCCGCTATCACGTACCCAAGGCCTGGGATCCAAGGCCCCAGGTGAATACAGGCCCGGCAGCAGCCGGTGTCTCTGCTTGAATTGAAATGCAATCATGTACAAACGATTCTCTTCCCAGTTTGCTGTCATCATGCAGCCTCCACCATGAGGCACCCAGCCTGCAGGCAGGTATATTGAGTTCACTTCAATAAAAGTCCTCATGGGGAAACACACCGCTGGGTGGTACAATTCAAACATGGAGTTAGGAGAATCATAGATAGGAGGGCTGAAGTGCTGTGAACACGTGCACCTACTGACAGGATGGCAGGGGTAAGTACAAAGCTGCATGCTGCGAATAGGAAAGAAAGGAAGATCAACAAAGCATGCTATAATTGAAATACTGATCCACTGAAATTCTGTGCTTGCTGTGTGTCATTTCAAAAATGTATGCACTGTTTTCAGGGTGGTGTAGCTGGAGATCGGGATTTGGGAGAGAACCAGAGGGCGGGGAGGCGGGGGGGAGGTGGGGGACGACGGCGGAATTACAATAGACAGCTGGAATGGGGACAGATGGGGGAAAAAGAGCCCAGAGGAGCCAGGAAGGGAGACAAAGAGGAAAGAGCATTTGCACACCACTTCACACATGAAATCTACATGATAATATCAGCGTTTGGAACTACGCACTGCCCAATGGGCACACATGCATAGTTGCCTGCCGTTGCTGGTGTCAGAAAACACTGCTGCGACCAGTTCCTGTCCAAATGGTGGGAATCGGAAGAAAAATTAGAAAGTCTTTAATGCACAATGATAGAATTGTGCAACAGCTACAGATTTGTTGAGCAAACCAACTCAGGTACAAGTCGCTGTAATTTTATCACTGTTGATATGAGACTGGTTCAACATATATTACACCCTAAAATACATAGCAGAAATTTTAAAAGTTTTGAAGGCATAATTTGAGTCTCAAATGAATGTTATGTATGAATCGAACATGTTCAATATGAGAGACCAAGGGGAAAAACAGAGTCCACAGATTGATAGAGACAACAAGGTGCAGGGCTGGATGAACACAGCAGGCCAAGCAGATTGATGTATAATCTAATTAACCTTTCCTACTCATGTATTTTAAAGACCTAAATGTCTTTTAAACATTCTAACTGTGCCCACATCGACCACTTCCTCAGGAAGTTCATCCCATACACAAACCACCTTCTGTAAAAAAAAGTGTTCCTCATTTGTTTTTTAAATCTCTCTCCTCTCACCTTAAAAATATGACCCCTAGTCGCGAAACCTGTGAATATGTGCAACTAAGAGATGAGCAAATAAAATATAGAATTATCTTACGCACAAGAGATCCACAATGACAGTGTGGCTGCTAAAAGAAGAGAATTGGACTCTGGAAGCAGTTATAAACACTTGCAGAAGCTCTGTGCTTGTAAATCAGCAGCTAGAGTACATACATGGGAGAACAAGGATGTGTGTCCAACAATGTGGAGGAGCAGCCCAGATCTGTGCACTATGCTGAAAAATAACCTACACTTACATCAAGCAACAATGTGGACAAAAGCCACAAATATCCACAGAAAAGCCATCAGAAAATTCAAGCTTACAAATTATATAGTGGTCATCACATAAGACAAAAGGGATCATGATCAAATGAGTCAATGGGCTGAAAAAATGGCTGAAATAAATATGAGGTATTCCATTTTGGTACAACAAACATGAGTAGGACTTATATAATTAATGGTAGGGCCTTGGGCAGTATTGTAGAGCAGAGGGACCTAGGGGTTTAGGTACAAAATTCTTTGATGTTAGCTTCATTGCTTTCATTGCTCATTACTCTGAGTACAGAAGTTGGGAAGTCATCAGGAGGTTGTACAGGACATTGGCGAGGCCTCTTCTGGAATACTGTGTACAGTTCTGGTTGCCCTGTTATGGCAAGGATATTATTAAGCTAAAGAGGGTTCAGAAGAGATTTACCAGGATATTGCCAGGTATGGAAGGTTTGATTATAAAGAAAGGCTGGATAGGCTGGGACCTTTCTCCACTGGAGCGTAGGAGGTTAAGAGGTGACCTTACTGAGGTTTATAAGGTCAGGAGGGGTATAGATAGGGTTAATGGTAGATGTCTTTTCCCTTGGATAGAGGATTTCAAGACTAGGGGGCATATTTTTAAGGGGAGAGGAGAGAGATTTTAAAAAATACAAACGGGGGGGGCACATTTTTTTTTAAAAACAGAGGGTGGTTTGCATATGGAATGAACTTCCTGAGGGAATGGTGGAGGCGTGCACAGTTAGAACATTTAAAAGACATTTAAATAAATACATGAATAGGAAAAGTTTGGAGGGACATGGGCCAGGAGCAGGCAGGTGGGACTAATTTAGTTTGGGGTTATGTTCAGCAAGGACAGGTTTGACTGAAGAGTCTGCTTCTATGCTGTATGACTCTATTAAAACAAAGCATTTCTAGCGTGGAAAAAAATTTTAACTGGAAAAAACTAAAACATTTTGCACACAACTGTTTAGTTAGGAAGCAGACAAACAAGGCAATGAAGGTAATAAAGATGATTGCCATAAAGATGTCAGACAATGATTTGTATGAATCAAGTGTGGCAACTGGAGAGAAGTCAGATGAAATTTAAATGATTCAATAAATGGTTTGTAACTATTGCATTGGAGACAGCAGACTGAAAGTATCAAGTGAATAAAAAAGGTCATGAAAAGTCGTTAGCAAAACAGGATTAAGGAGAATCCCAAGGCTTTTTATACTTAGACAAAAAGCAAAAGGGTAGCCTGGGAAAGAGTTGGCCCACTCGAGGACAAAGGATAGAATCTATGTGTGGAGCCAGAAGAGGCAGGTAAGGTCCTAAATGAATATTTTGTGTCGGTATTCACAAAAGAGAAGGAATTGGTGGAGGATGATCTCAGGGAAGGAAGTGTTGAATCTCTAAGTGAAGTTGTTACTAAAAACAGGTGTTGTGCATCTTAAAAAGTATTAAGGGAGATAAGTCCCCAGGCCTTGTTGGGATCTATCCCGGAATATTGAAGGAGGCAAGAGAACAAATTGCTGGAGCACTGACAGGCATCTTTGTGTCCACTTTGGCCACACACGAGATCCCAGAAGGCTAGAGAATAGCGAATGGTGTCCCGTTGTTTAAGAAGGGTAACATCAATAATCCTGGAAATTACAGGCCTGAGTCTCACACTGGTGGGAGGGAAATTATTGGAAAAGATTCTCAGAGCCAAAATTGGTATGCATTTAGAAGCGAATGGACTTATTAACGATAGACCGCATGATTTTGTGCTGAGGAGGTTGCGCCTCACTAACTTGATTGTGTTTTTTGAGGATTCAAGGTGCAGGGGGGTAAGTTTAAAAGAGATGTGCGAAGCAAGTTTTTCACACAAAGGGTGGTGAGTGCCTGGAATGTGCTGCCAGAGGAGGTGGTGGAAGCTGACACAATAGCAGCATTCAAGAAACACCTGGACAAATATATGATTAGGAAGGGAACTGAGGGATAGGGATCCTGTAAGTGAAGATATGGAAGGGCAAAATGTATCAGTGCAGGCTTGGAGGGCCAAAGGGCCTGTTCCCATGCTGTACTGTTTTTTGTTCTTGAATATGAAGTGCCGAGTAGACAATAGAATTGCAACATGAGCTTCACAGACTCTTGTAAAATTACAGCAGATGCCAATCCAAAAGTTAAACGTTCTAAGGTAAATGAGAGACTTGGTTTCGGAATAATGCACATTCCGAGAAGATAAATTAGTCCGACAGCCCAATTCTCTGACAAGACTGAAGATTAGGAATTCAGGGTATTGGATACAAAGATAAAGCCAGATTTCAGCAGAAAGCACGTCGAAAGCTTGGATTAATAACCTTAGAAGATCCAGAAGAAACTGACAGTGTTTCACAGATCACATTGACTGATGAACAGACAGACAAGCGGCACAAGACAGAGAGATTCCAACTGCAGGAACGCAAACGGAATCTTGATTCTAAAGTCACAAAATGAAAAGATTGATCAGCCACAGCTAATGCAACTGAAGAAGTGTCGAGGGCATGAACCAGCAGAGTCAGCTGAGAGGATTTGAAAGAGGTCACAGCTTTTCAGGCAAGACCCTGATCGCCACAGTAGATTCCCTACTAATTATTTATAGTTTAGAGTCTCTGGTTAGAAAAATATATTAGCTCTCTATTAATAATGACCATTAATAAGAGAAAATCATATGTATGTTACAAGAAGGTATTGAGGCAAATTGGTTATTCTTTGAAAATGAACCATACTTATGCAACTGGTAGGATTTTCCAGTACAAAAATCTATGTTTTTTTTAAACTAAGGGCTTTCCAGAGGAAAGGTTTAAAACATTAGAACAATTCAGAGCTAAAGATACACTAATAAAGGTTAAATTATTGCTAGGAAACCATCAGAAGTGTCACCCAAAATATTCAAACGAACTCTCTACTATTTTAAAGAAGAAATCCGGAAAATCTTGTTTGCAATCCAGAATAATGAGTTTTGAAACAAATAGCATAATTAACCATAGAACTAAGAAATGATTAATTGACCTCTGGAGAATTTTATCTCCTTACCTCTGGGATAGACTTCACAAAGCGAATTCCATCATTAGCTCCTTTCACCTTGGCCAAACAATTACAGAAATAATCCCAGTAGTCTTTCCTGGTGCCGAGGAAAGTAGTTTTCTCCTTCTGGTCAAACTTTAACAAAAGTTGTGAATAACAAAATGTCAAAACCAAACTTTACAATTGTATGTAGGCTACACATGAGTTTAAAAAGAAGAATGACTAAACAGAGTCTTTCAATATAAACTCAATCTCTTCACAAGCACTTAGCAATAATGGTTCTGTGTTGAATAATATTAATATTGTAATAGATAGTAATATCTTCTACAGATTAGGAAAACGCAAAATTAATAGAGCTCCCAGTCCAAATAATATCTATTTTAGGTTGATTAAAGAAATGAGACAAGTGGTCTAAAACTTTGTGTCTGTATAGTCAATATCACAACTACAGGGAGAGACATTGAGACCAGAAGCAAGCTCTCGCAGTTTCTACGTTTAAAAAAAACTAAATCAGACCCATATCCATTCCAGGGAGCTGTCCTTAGTGAGCTTACGTAATAGCCTCAGTCTTATTAGATGATCATTTGCGTTATGTGGATGCTGTATTAAACATCACCTGATGGCAATGTCTTGTACATATTTCAAATGAGAAAAGACAGTACTTTTCCACGTTGCATGTCTTCAGTCATATCCTCAGCAGCTCTTTCAGTACAAGGTCACCAACTCAGTAGTTCTGGAGCATGCTAATTCTATCAGTATACACTTACACACTGCTAAGCCAACAACCTCTATGCTGGTATTGTCACATCTGTCCAATGAATGATGGCTGTTTGCGCAAAGACCTCCAGTATGATGAACTGGTGATTCAATCATCACCTGCTGGGCATACTTCAGCTACAAAGATACCCGGACCAGGATATAAAGATGGCCAATTCTGATGCTGGCAACCAGGACACTGCAGCGACTTATGAGGTAACTCACCACCACCTGTTTAAAGGCAACTAGGAATACGCAATAAATACTGGCCCAACGGGCAAAGCCCACAGCGCCTGAATGAAGAAAAAAAAAAGCGACATCTGGAGGCAGACTCTTTAGGAGGCCATTAGAAAAGGCAAACAGATGCCAAAAACTCCACTGGCTGAGAAGGAGTCAGAGAAAACAGAGGTAGTGAGACTGCCTTGATGTTCACTGGGAAGGAAATGGAGTTATTAGAAATAAACCACACAGCTTCTTCAAAGAAAATCACTAGGCTAGTGAATGAGGGAAATGCAGTTGATATTATTGACCAGAATTTTCATTAAGCCCTTGATAAGGAAGCTCACATGAGGTTACTTCAGAACAGAATCTTTTGAAAGCAGAAGGAATTTTGTATGCTGGATTGGGAACAGTCTCCAGTCCCACACTTAAAAAGTTTGTAGTTAGCAGATATGGTTTAGCCAGAAGACATGTTGTCACTGGTACTTTCCAGTGATTCCTCTTAGGTCTGCTATTATTCATTGATTGTAGTACTAGTGCTGTTGGGAGTATGCCAAGTTTACAGATGCCAGCAAAATTTGTACAACAGTAAATACAGACAATGGAATACTAAATGATTCAGATACACTGGAACATTGGGTTCGACAAAGGTAAATCGCATTTAATTAATGGTAAGTGCAGTTTCACACATATTAGTCAGACCAAGACAACATAAAAGCATCTTTTTTCAGCGATCAATAGCATAAGTAGCTGGCAGATAGAAAGGACCTGGATTTTTTTTGCTGGTGGGGAAATGGGCAGGATGTGAGGCACATGAAATCCAACAGGTGACCTTCCTGCTGTCTGTTCCCAAACTCTCTGAAATTTTATGAGGGAAGCAATGGGTAGATGCTTGGACCTAACGAGGCTCTTGATTTTTTTTCTATTCACACATGGGATACAGGCAGTGATGGCTGGGCCAGCATTTATTGTCCATCTCTAGTTGCCCTTGCTGACGAATGCGGTCACCAGATTTACCTTAGCATCTTGGCCTAGTTACAGTGCCTGTACTCCCAATGGTGGACACCACTCTTAACTGGTATTGTTGGGTCTACAGAACTGTTGGCCATTTAGATTATTGGCAGCTCTCCAAGACAGGATAGAACATAGAACATAGAACAGTACAGCACAGTGCAGGCCCTTCGGCCCACAATGTTGTGCTGAACTTTTACCCTAATCCTAAGGTCTATCTAACCTCCACCCCTACCTTATACTATCATCCATATGCCTATCTAATAGCCGCTTAAATGCCCCCAATGAGGCCAACCTCACTACCCTCTCTGGCAATGCATTCCACGCCCCGACCACTCTCTGAGTAAAGAACCTACCTCTGATGTCTCCCCTGTATCTACCTCCACTCACTTTAAAACTATGCCCCTCTGTAATAGCTACCTCCACCCTAGGAAAAAGTCTCTGGCTGTCCACTCTATCTATACCTCTGATCATTTTGTGCACCTCTATCAAGTGACCTCTCATCCTTCATCGTTCTAAAGAGAAAAGCCCTAGCTCTCTCAACCTTTCCTCATAAGACCTTCCCTCCATTCCAGGCAACATCCTGGTAAATCTCCTCTGCACCTTTTCCAATGCTTTCACATCTTTCCTGTAATGAGGCGACCAGAACTGGACACAATACTCCAGATGTGGCCGAACCAGGCTTTTGTATAGCTGGAGCATAACTTCACAGCTCTTGAACTCAATCCCTCTATTAATGAAAGCTAACACACCATACGCCTTCTTAACAACTCTATCCACCTGGTGGCAGCTTTCAGGGAACTGTGGACAAGAACCCCAAGATCCCTCTGCTCCTCCACACTGCACTCCTCACAACATTGGGAACATTCTTCCAGCATCTAGCCTGTCCAGTCCCATCAGTACTTTGCGTTTCTATGAAATCGCACACCCCCTTCTAAATTGCAGTGAGTACAATACCAGTTGATCCAGGCAGAATTTCCCTCTGAGAACGTGGCAGGACTCTGATCTTAAGGTAATTGATACTGCTATGCTGCTTCGTGTTAAATTGGTACAGGCAGTTGAGGGCAGGATCTCCCTGACATCTTAGCTGGGTGGAGCACACCATAAAATCCAGCCCAAGTGTTGTTATACACATAATCAATGCACATAAGGAAGTTGTGGCTGTAGCCTAAAAAAATACTTTTGATGAATCAAGCTGTTCAGCATAATTCAAAGAACACCATTTTGTCACTAAGTACATTAATGATCAGTCTGCAGTTGGAGTACTGTGTCCACTTTTAGTTCTGTTTAGTGGGTTAATAGTACCCTTAGAGACATGAGAACTATTTTCATCTTGATAAACTCTCAGGCACTCATAAGTTAAGGACCTTGCTTTGTTTAGTTCAGAGCAGCAAAGACTTAGATCTGGCCTCCTTATGGTCTGCAAAAATAACACAAGAACTGAAATAATTGGATAGCATGCCTATTGAAAGATCGTGCTAGTTTAACAGATTCAGAAATATCAGGAGTTGAGAGTTTGGACATTGTAGGGAAGACATAGACTACATGAGATTGTTGACTTGCTCGCCGAGCTGGCTTGTTTTCATTCAGATGTTTTGTCATCATGCTAGGTGACATCACCAGGGGGGCCTCCGATGAAGCGATGGTGTTTATTCTGCTTGGAATTTATACTGTCTGGTCCGTTATGGTGAGGGCTGTCATTTCCAGTTAGCATAGACTACATGTTAAGCCATTCTTCTTTTTCCAGAGATAGCCTGGTCGAGACCATGACTGTGTTTTCAGAAAACAATCTGTGCAATCTTAGGGATTGGATTGGAGGTCCCTAGCCGTTCAGAGAAAGCTTTTCCAGATTTTAAAATACAATGTTGACCAAGGTTCTTCTTAATTTGCCTGTATCAACAAATTACAGGGCAGCCACAAGAGAGGAGGGAAAAGAAGAAGTAAGGTCTAGTCATGATGTTCTAGGCATTGAGGTGACAAAGGCCAGGTTAACAGGTCAACTGTTGCCTCCCTGTCCATCAATTTAATATGTGGTTATATAAATAGAGAGGGTTTCTGAAACAGCAAAATGCCCACATACAGTTAGATCTCAGCAGGTAAGCTCCAGGTGCTTTAAATGATTGAAAGAGATTTGAAATAGTGGAATAGCTAGACAGGTTTGAATCAAAGCAAACTGGACTAGCATTGTATGGCATGTTCTTTATTATGTATTAATATAGGAGAATAAATTATACACATTAAATTAATCTGGTCACTACAGCTGTTTTATCTGTACACCATACTTAAGGGTTTACATTCTTATCTCAATTCACCACTCTGCCTTTATACAGAGCTTAAAATATATTTGAGAAAGACGTTTATCCGATTCAGGGCACAAGGAGATGACCATCGTTCCACGTGGGGAGACCTATACAACTACAGATTGCCGTCACAAAATTCAGACATGCAGCAACAATTCTTTGGATGGTTTTTGACGCTTGTTACATCCAACAGAACATCTACAGCACGTACAGACTTCTGCTGCAAATCACGTAAAAAGCATCCTTTGGGGAAGAGTATTAGGAGCGCCCACAAGAAGTTTGCAGAGTATAAATCAGTGCTGACTTGATGCCAACACTGTCATTTTACACCTGAACATTTCAGCTTATGCTCTCTTAATTACAAAAGCCTGAAAACATATTTGTAACTGGAGCTAACCCCCACTCACCAATACTACGTTAAAACAAAAAAAGAGGGGGACTTTCAGGTTAGCCACATTTCAAGATAGCCACCACTTCAACACTGGAAATGTTGGGCTTGAAGCTCTGTGCTGCGCAATGTCCTCAATAAAGTTGGTACAGGACTCCACACTCCTCCAGCCTCAGCAGAGGCCGATGAGCACAGTGACCAACGCAGCAAGCGTTTCCTGTGCATTAACATCAACTTTCTACGACAGCCTACACCAAAGACTCAACTCAGTCCTTGGTACCAGAACTTGTGTGTGACTATCTCCTGGTTATCAGTCACTCATACGTTGTGTTTTATCACATGCGTAGCCCAACTAAAAGTTATCCTCTAAATTAGATGTAGAGACAGTATCTGGGCTGGTGGCTGAGAGTGAAAGATTGAATGGCACAGTTTCTTCACCATAATCCTTTCGCTATCCACTAGTGTCTGGTCAGATGGCAATTTGGTGAAAATCTGCAAGAAGAAAGGCACAAGTTTGCAGTAAAAAAAAATAGAAAGAAAGAAAAGGTAATAGGTGCATGCAACACCACCTGCAACTTCTAAAGTCAGAAGCAGCTGTGGAAGAAGGTGGAAGCAGGATGCGTGAAGGAATATTAGGTATAAGAATCCTGTCACCTTCTATCATTTCAGCCTCACTGCTGGCAAGGGCATTCTAATGCAATCAAGCACCATCTCCTCCAGGGGTTAAAGACAGTAGCTACACTTGCCCCAACCAGTTGGGTTGTGTTTAGTTCAGTTCCATTTTGCCCAACAAAGAATGCAGCTTGTTAGTGGTACAACCAGTTTGTGTACATTCACTGCCATTATTGACTCATTGGCAGCATGTCCAAGCTATAAAACGTGTCAGAGAGCCATGCAGCAGTTCAGATTGCATGCCAAAGTTCTGAAGTCACTGGACCAGAAACGTTAACACTGCTCCAGTCCCAAATGATGCTGCCAGACCTGGTGAGTTTCTCCAGTACTTTGTTTCATTTCTGACTATCTGCAAGCACAGTGAATGAACCTGTGATGTTTGTTATGAATCCTGATTGATAAGAGGTGCTTGCTAAGTGAGTGTGGTTCACTGAGCAGTGTGCAAGGCTAAAATATGGAGTTAGTGGAATATGGCATTCATAGAAAATTGCTTGTAGAAGGTGAATTAGAGTTGTGCAGCTTTGCACCTGGTTCCTGGGATGTGATCCCTGGCATCGACTGCCAATGTTTATCTTGTCCCACTGCCTTGACAAAGTTTGTCTGGAGGACATCCAGGTCCCCTGGCTTTACAGATATCTCTACTCACTAATGTCACATTAGAAAATCACGTGCTCACACTCTCCGATCCTGTGTCATTAGTGCTCCCCAAGTTAGAGTCAAATGTAGAAGGTCTGCCATAATGTTCTCTAACCATAAGCCATTCTTCATTTAAGTGCTCCACACTAGCTTTAAGTACTGCAGGCTAGTCATTAAATGTGGTTTGCCTCACATGATTTCGGGCTCCAGTAAAAGCATGTGGTCACCCAACAGGAACACTAAATGTTGGCTGCACACTGCAATCATGTAAATTCGCAGCTGCCTTCAATTGGAGCAACAGGCAGCATCCTTGGCTCCTTACGTGTACCGGGTCAGTGAATCAAGCCACCCAGTAAATCCATTTTAAACAACTCCCATGAAACAAATGAGCAAAACAGACACTATCAAACCAGAGAAAGTATGTGGGGCAGTTCGTAACTTGTATCATAATATTTTTGCTGTAATAAATATCACTTACACAAAACACAAGATTTCATCATAGAATCTCTCCAGTATGGAAACAGGCCATTCGGCCCAACGAGTCCACACTGCCCCTCTGAAGAGCATCCCACCCAGACCCATTCCCCTACCCCTGTATTTCCCATGTCTAACCAGCCTAACCTAAACATCCCTGGGCACTATGGGCAATTTAGCATGGCCAATCCACCTACCCTACACATCTGTGGACAGTGGGAGGAAACCCACGCAGACACAGGGAGAGTGTGCAAACTCCACACAGACAGTTGCCCGAGGCTGAAATCGAACCCCGGTCCCTGGCGCTGTGAGGCAGCAGTGCTAACCACTGAGCCACCATGCCGCCCAGTGCCTGTTACTACCCAGTTCCTGTATTCAGTAATAAATTTTACCGATCCAACTTTTGTTTTCATCGTTATGACTCATTGATCTCATTTTCTTGCAATAAAACCTGCAAGCCCAAACTGTTTTTAAAAAACTGCATTAAAAAGTATAACAAGCTGAATAAACAGAAAAACAAAAATATTCCAAACAATATACTACAAAAGTTTATAGGTTTAATTCTGTTTTTGCACCAAGAGCGGTCATCAGTGTTCATACCAACCATCGGCCCTCATTATTACTGACGTGCTTCAAGGTGGGTAAATAGAATCAGTGATAACACTGCTGTGAATTTCTCTTCATAACAAATCATATTGTTAAACTACTTGCCTTTCAGGTTCCTCTTACCTGAAGGAGGTATTCTAATTTTAAGCAGCATTTGTGCAAGTTGGTGCTGTCATCAGTGATCGGCTCACCGTTTTCCTTGTGTTCTCGATTTAATTCCGAAATTGCATCTTTTAAAAAAAAACAAACAAATTTCATATCATCCAATGTTAATATTAATACTCAAGCATTAACACCTGGCAGTCCTAAACAGAGCATCTTTCCCCACTGTTGCTCTCATAATCCGCATGTTCTTCTCGTCATCAGTGTTAAGTCATTGCTGTCTTCGTGAATCTGCCAAGGATCCTTGTTCTAAACACTAAAAGGCATGCTTTCTTTCATATAATGGCAAATACATTTCTTAATGTTTCACGGTGAGGCGAGTTATCCTGTATTTCCACCAATAAGGCACAAGTTGCACATGCATCACTCAGCACAGCATTCTGCACCAGAACTTCATAGGACAGCTTATTTTCATATTATTACAACATTCATGGATTTATGCAAATCTTGCAAAAAGAACGGAATCAATAAGCTGTGATGTTTGAATATTAGCAGAGTATATTTGCAAAAATTCAGTCTTATTGAAGAGTGTAGAAGCAAGCAACAGAACGGCAAAGAACTCAGCTTAGATATTTACTGTAAGTTAGTTCGATTCCTGCTTAGAAGATGGCACACTCTTGCAGAAGTTATTTACAGAACATTTTAAAAAAACCCTTGCGCCACTTTATCAGATGACACCATCACATCTCCACTGACAACTATCACCAAGTTCCCTTATTTAGAGTGAGGAAGAAAGTAGCGCACAAAGCCCACAAGAGGCAATGCTCTAGAGGAGACTATCACTGACTTTAATGCCCTCAGCAACAGGTCATAAAAAAGAAAGGCATTCTGATCTGCATTTTCTATGGTAGAGGTGAGGAGTAGAAGGGTAGCCCTGACCTGGTGACTAAATACAACAGCCCAAATTTTTGCCAACAGAGATGTTCTCTGTAGCGGTGAAAATGACACAGCCTGACAACAGTACCAACCATTTTTGCCAGGTCAGGGGTAGAGTCAGACTAGGTTTTACACATGCATCTTTTACAGGAGGTAGCTGCCCATTTAAATCACCAGCTACCTCCCCTGAAGCAGAATTGTGGCATCACTATAGTATGGATCCTGGAGCGTACACTGTAGACCCACTACGTGCAGGTCTGAACAGTGTGGATTCATTTGGATTGGCAGGCTATCACTTTGGATATAGTCCTGAATGGCTTTGGAGTGGCTCAGGTATCATTCGGAGGTTACTTACTTTTGTGCATTGTTGACTGGAGGGAAGATAGTTCCAATGGATTTAAGCAGTATTCTTTTTAAGGAACATACTCAGGTTGTCAATACATCCAAGTATATTTTTATGAATGAGTGCACCTTTCAGTAGAATGTGGTCTACTAGACAGAATTTTAGTATTCTCTCCGCCATGTGTGGATACCAGTTACTGTCGTACAGCACGTCGAAGGGGGAAAAGATGCTGGGGCAAACTATGGAAATGGCAAGAGTTTGCACCAAGCTGGCATATAGGGCATGGGTAAAAGGCTCTGGTGGCAGTGAGTGTGCAAGGGGTAGGAGGAGTAAAAGGGGAGTGGGGGGTGACAGCTGGAGAAATGTTTGATTTTATTCTTTTATGTTAATCTTTAAGACAGTGCCAGGATGATTGGGTCAATGATCTGAGGAGCACCAGATGGAGTTTAATTTGGATAAATGCGAGATATTGCATTGTGGTAAAACAAACAAGGGCAGGACTTCTACACTTATAAGTAGGGCCTTGGGTAGCGTTGCAGAACAGAGAGACCTGGGGTTCAGGTACATAATTCTTTAAAGTTTGTGTCACAGGTAGACAGGGTGGAGGAAGGCACTTAGCATGCTTGCCTTCATTGTTCAGACTTTTGTGTATAGGAGTTAGAAAGTCATGTTGAGGTTGTGTGTGATGTTGGTGAGGCCTCTCCCAGAGTCCTGTGTGCAGTTCTGGTTGTCTGTTATAGGAAGGATATTATTAAGCTGGAGAGGGTTCAGAAAAAAAAATTACCAGGATGTTGCAGGGATTGGAGGGTTTGAAATACAGGGAGCGGCTGGGACTTTTCTTCCCCTCCAAGTGGACCGTAGGAGGTTGAGGGGTGACCCTATAGAGGTTTTAAAATCACGAGGGGTACAGATAAGATGAATGGCAGGTGTCTTTTCCCTAGGGATGGGGGATTTCAAGACTAGGGGACATATGTTTAAGGTTAAGAGGAGAAAGAAAGATTTAAAAAAGACATGAAAGGCAACATTTAAAAAAAAATGGAGTGGTTTGTGTGTGGAATGAATTTCCAGACGAAGTGGTGGATGTGGGTACAGTTACAACATTTAAAAAAAACATTTGGATAAGTACATGAATAAGAAAGATTTGGAGGGATATGGGCCAAGAGCAGGCAGGTGGGTCTAGGTTAGTTCGGATTATGGTCGGCACGGTCTGGTTGGACGGAAGGATCTGTTTCCATGCTGTATAGCTCTATGGCTCTGCACTCAGTCAATGTGGAACCCAGATGCCTCCTCAGTTCTTCCGGAGTTTCTCAGCCTAGCTGCTAATCCATCCTGCACCACCTACCCACACCTCCCCTCCCCTCAAACAGTCAGAATGGGGAGCACAGGCAGCCATTTTCTAAAAAAAAAAGTCAGATTCGTGGAGTCCAGAATTCTCCCACCTCCAAGCTGCGAATGAAAACAAAAATCAGAGTCAAACGGTCACCACGGAGGGTGCCCTGATCAATTTTTCAGATTCAAGACACTTTTACAACCCTTCCAGTCAGCCTGGCTATGTTAACAAATTCATGACCCACTTCGGATTAAATCTGCTGAGCATTGTACAGCTAGTTACTAAATGCACCAGTGCTGAATTATATGGGTGCAATAGGAAGATCGCCAATCCCTCATTATGCGAAGTTCAAGACTGTAGACTCCCCTGATTGAGACCATAGTTCCTCTCAGGGTTCTGAGGATTGTATCGGATGTTCTCAGTGTCACCAATGGTAACTTTCTGGTGACTGGTCAAGGGGGATCTGGTAGACAGCAGACAGGTCGCCTGTCTTCATCCTCAACACCAGGAGGTGCAAGATCCACTGACAGCTACAAGAACAGTGAACGCTTGTTCTTCATTGGGTGATAAATACAGCAGCAGCAGCATTGAAAAATTGTGCACTCAATTAATTTATCCTCTTCCCCACGAGAGTGGATTATATGCGGAGACGTAGCTATCCTTACCCTTCAGGTCTCTGATTATCCTTTGGATCTGGCTTTCTCCAACAGATGCTGCCATCTTTGCGGTTTAAACTCCAACAGTCTATAACCTGTTTAATGCACAAGGATTTTTGTTTAAGAAATATATTGCTATAACTTAAATTCAACAAGCTGTAGAATATAGAAAATTGAAAACCATAAGACCTGCTGCACCAAGGCTCAGTGCATTATTCCTAACATCATGGACATGGAAGGGGGCAGGAAAAATGGCGTGTGGGATGAGTTATTTGGGTTGGATGCAAAATTTTGCTTTCCTGACAGCAGGTTCAGAAACAGAGTTAAAAATCAGCGGGAAGTTTGTGGCGTATCGAGCATTACACCGGCCTGTGAGGGGTTCACGTTTCTAACACATCTGTAGATATTTTCTCATCAACTCCTGGAGCAGGTGAGATCCAGGACTCCAGCTGATGGGTCAGGAGAGTACCACTGTACCACAATAGCCCTCAAAGAAGTTTAGAGGGATAATCAATCCTTTAACAATGCACTATGAAAGTTAGTTAGTTAGTTTGTTTGTTTGTTTGAAAACAATCTACAATCTGTTTCAGATATGTTACGGCACACCTCTGAAGCAGGTGGAACTTGAACCCAGACAGCCTGGCTCAGAGGTAGGAACACTACCACACTGTAACATATTTGTATGCTGTGAATATTCATTATTGAGAGAACTTTCAATAAAGTCCTACCCCTCAATAAAATCAGCAAGGCTCAAGAATCTCACCAGTTTGTTCAAAGGCGTTGTGTTCGGGTTGTTTTTCGTGCATGTTTCTTGTAATTGAATGGCAGGAGAGAGGAAGGAGGAGAAGTATGGAATCTTGCATGCAGGTTCAGGATTGGCCAGAGACCGAATCAGTAAAGGGAGCTGTGGAGTGAGGTTGGAAGCTTGGAGGATTGGAAGAGGGTTCCAGGAGAGGGTGGAGGGTGGATCAGGGGCATGGAGGAGTGAAGTGGAATTTGGCCAGTTATCCTGGTTCGATTCAGGGAGGTTGGTGGGGTGAGGTAAAACAAGGAGGGATCTAAAGGCCAAATATGCCCCCATCTCAGAGCAGCATCCTTACAGGATTTTGATTTTACCTGCAACATTTCAATTATCCCCTCCAAGATTGTGATGGACATTGTCTAAGAACAGCACATTGAAGGGAAAGCCAGCTAAGCCTGCAAGTGCAGCTATACCCCCCAAAGAATGGTGCCCTCAAAACTGGACACTAATATGGACATTCAGTAAATTTGTACACAAAAACATGGCATTGTTTCTTCCAGAATAAAAGGGAATGCTTCCAACTTCCTTGCAACCATCCATATATGCCAACTACGAGTCTTGCCATTACATTTAGTTCTCCAAGTTAAGTAACAAACAACAATAACGTACATATGAACCAAGTGAAACCAACATGATGTGAAATGTTTACTTTTAATTCTGTAAAACACTTTTGTGTTCGCAGATCTTACTGTAATGGTAATGGAGCTGGGCAGGAAACCGGTGAGTAGTGACGCAGAATCTCTGTTTGAATAGGAGATGCTTTTATACACCACCTGTCAGCAGCTTTTTTCACTGAAAAGTTTTCCTAGCTGCTAAACTGAATGCGCTCTCATACATTTTGAATTTTAATTTAAAATCACACAGGAGGACGTAAACAGAGAGAAAACAGGAAGTGGCACTCAGTTCTAGTTATGACATCAGAAACGGCATGCTGCTGAGAAAATCCTAGCTGCAGTTTGTCCTCCATTGGAGCAGATTGGCAGCACAAGATATTAGGGACAGGATCTCTGTAATTCACACAGTGATGGGATATTCTGGTAGTTCTACACCCCGTAGAAATCCCTCAAAACAAAACTAAACATTGGTAATTTACATTAAATGGACAATAATTTGGTTCCAAAGATAAAAGCCATTACACAGACTCAAAACGTTGACTCCAGCCTTTTCCAGATGCTACCAGACCTGCTCAGTTTCTCCATCATTCAGTATTTGTTTCAGGATTTCCAGCACCCATAGTATTTGCTTTAAATAATTGGGTCAATATTTGAAGAGATCAGAAAAATACCTAACAAAGGCAAATCACAAACTTCTTCCTCATTTCCAATGTAAGATAGGGTAATAATATGACAGTGGTGAAGGCATCCCAAGAACCAATACTATGACTCAACAATAGCGTCTTCAAAAAAATCCCTTGGAAATAAATTAACAGTAGACAAGGAGAATTCAGCAGATGAAACATACTTGGGTTTTCAAAAGGCCTTCGACAAAACGAGCAGAGCACTCAAGTGAAAGCACAGCGTCAGTGAACAAGTTGGAAAAATGAGTTGGAAGCTTCCTGCAAACCAGGAAACAGGATCAGGTCAGGATTTTTACTCAGACTGAGAGGAAGCGTGAAGCAATGTCTCTCAGAGATAGATCCTCGGACCACTGTTGCTCACTGTTTATACAATTCAGATTTGAGAATTGAAACCACAATTTTAAAATTTGCAAATATCAAATGGGGGAAGTGAGGATAGTTAATACAGAGAAGGATTGAGACAGAATATAAAAAAGGCCAGTAAGTCCTCAGAATGGCATGTAATTGGCAACTGAAATTCAATACAGGCAGCTATGAAATAATGCATGTTCATAAGATAACAAGGAGTTCACACAATCCTTAGAAAAATGAAAACCTGAAAGTGGAGAGGATAGAAAGGGAGCTGGAACAAAGAATCACAATTATTAACAGTACTACCTTGGTTTAACAAGGTAATAAACTAATGTAAAAATAAAGCATTTGGGCTCATTTCTAGAGGAATTGAATTGAAAAGCATCACACTGAGACGTGAACAAATTTAATTTCTATATTACAAAAAGAAAACGAGATACTGAGATGCTGGAGAGGACACAACATACATGTACACAGGATGACACCAGAACGGAGAGATCATAACCATAAGGAAAGTATAAGGAGCAGGAGCTTTAGGTAAAACAAAACAGCTGGAGAACGATCTAATAAAGGTTTGTCATTATGGGGGGAATTGGATAGTGCACACATATAAATGTTTTTACCACTTGTGGAGGAAGCCCAAAATTAGGTAATCTAAATATAAGATTCAATACAGAATTAAAGAAATTAAACTTGTTACCCAGAGAGTGGTTACAATACTACCCCAAGTAGTATTTGAGGTGAATAGCAATGTTGGATTTAAGAGGAAGCTTGATAAGTCCATGATGAAGAAAGGAATAGAAGGACAAGTTGATAGCGTTTCATGAAGCATAGTAGTAAAAGGTTCCTGTGGAGCATAAACACCAATTTGGATGACTACAAAAACCACAAGACATAGGAACAGAAGTAGGCCACTCAGCCCATCAAGTTTGTTCTGCCATTCAATGAGATCATAGCTGATTTGATTATCCACAGCTCCTCTTTCCTGCCTTTTCCCCATGTCCCTTGTTTCTCTTACTGATTGAAAACGTCTCTTCCAGCACTGAATATACCTAATGATCCAGCCTCGCCAGCCATCTGTGGTAAAGAATGCCACAGACTGGCCACCTTCAGAAGAAATTCTTCCTCATCTGTTTTAAACATGCAATTCCTCATTCTGAGATTATGCCTTCTGGTCCTAGACTCTCCCGCAAGAGGAAATGACCTTTCTATATTAAAACCCCATCAAGTTCCAAGAATCTTGTATGTTTCAATGAACCACGTCTCATTCTTCCAAACTCCAGTAAGTACAGGCCCAATCTACTCAAACCTCTCCTCATAAGACAATCCCTTCATATATGGTATCAGCCCAGCAGCCCTTCGCTGGGCTACCTCCAGTGACAGTACATCTTTCCTTAGATGAGGGGCCCAAAACTGTTTACAGTTGTTCAGTTATGGTCTGACTAGTGACATGTATAGTTTTAGCAAAACCTCCCTATTTTTATACTCCATCCCCTTTGAAATAAAGGCTAACATTCATGCACCTTCTCTATTACTTACTGAATTTGGATGCTAGCTTTTTGTGCATTCATGCAATGATAAGCTAGGTCAAAAAGCTGGTTTCTGTTCTGCAAATTCAGTGCAACTGTGTTTAGCCAAGATTCACACATTGGAAAGTGGCTTAACATGTTGATGTGGCTGTTCAAAACACATCTACAATCCTTGGTTTTATAGATAGAGCATAAAATACAAAAGCAAGGCAATCATGCTAACATGTTATAATTAATTATAATTAGGCCTCAGCTGAAATATTGCATTTAATTCTGGGCACCACATTTTTAGGAATGGTATCAAGGTCTTCGACAGCCATCTGAAGCTACTTACTACACAATGGTACCAGGGATGTGAGACTTGAGTTATGCAAAGACTCAAAAAGCTGAGGCCGTTCATTCTACCGCAAATAACAATTGCTTGTGAATCGCCACTTCTTTCCCAGCAACTTTGTCAACCAATCTTCAGCTATTAAGGGCCCAACTCTGGAATGCTCTCAAAAAAACTGTCCACACTACACCCTGCCCCAATCTCTTTAAAAGGATCTTCTATAAACTCTACCTCCTCAACAAAGCTTTTAGTCCCAGCCCATATGGCTTCTCCTTTGGTTCAGTGGCTAATACTCTTGCAGAATGCCTCAGGATGTGCAACTACCACAAAGCAAAATATAAATGCAAGTTGTGGTGGCTCTTATAGGGAGATTTTAAAAAATGCTCAAACATATGAAGGTGTTGGTAACAGATCCAATGCTAACTTTCAACAAGGTACTAGACGAATTGAACTAGTAAAGGCAAAGTATACAGGATACCACAGAAAGGGCAATAAAGTGGTACCACCTGGATATCTCTGTCACAGAGCCATCAGAGACAGGATGGGCCGAATGGTCACCTTCTGATGATCAGGTTCCCTACTCCACAGGCCCATACTTACACTAATCGCATAGGCCTCACTTCTTTGACAGCTCTTCATTTCATGTAAGCAGAAATACCAGGCCACAGATCTAGAGGGGAAAGAAAAGGCAATAGGAGCCACACGTTAGTGCCCTCATGACGAACCTTTACCAAAGCCGCCATCACCTTCTTACTGCAAAAAGGAAGCTAATCACTTACCTCCCCCCACCCCCATAACCACAGCGGGCGCGCACCAACCCAACTTGAACACAGTCTACTGAACGACGTGCCAGGAAACCAATCATCACTAAGACGTCTGCCGTACGCTGATAATCATCCAATCAACAGCCGACGGGGGTGGGATTGTTTGTCCGTCAAGTTTGTATGTGGCGCGCTGTCAACAATGGACTGTCACCTGACCATCTGGGCAGTTGTCTGGGCCTGGGCTGTCAATCACAGGGCAGCGCGTGCCCGCGCCTGGGCCGTCAATCGCAGGGCAGCACGTGCCTGCGCCTGGGCTGTCAATCACAGGGCAGCACGTGCCCGCGCCTGGGCTGTCAATCACTGAGCAGTCCCCGGGCCCAACATGTCAATCACAGAGCAACCCGGGCCCAACATGTCAAACGCTGAACAACCTGGACCTGAGCTGTCAATCACTGAGCAGCCTAGATCTGTCAACACCGGGAGCAAATAACCAAACCTTCAGTGTCTTCAGAAGGATATCAGGGCAGAGGTCATTCCTAACCTACAAATTATTTAGCCCCTCAAGCTTGCCCCGCCATTCAATAAGATCATGGCTGATTTGATGGGATGCTGAATTCAAAATTCCCATCCCCTCATCATAGCCTATGATTTTTCTGCCCAACAATAATCTATCTGCTTATGCCTTGCAAATATTCAATGAGCCAATTTCTACATCCTTTTAAGGAAGTGTTTCAAGGTTGTACAACCCCTCTGGAAAATAAACGCTTCCTCATGCCTAAAAGAGCAACCCCTAATTTTAGAATCATGTCCCCCAGTTCTGGATTCACCCATAAGTGAAAACATCCTTTCCATGTTCACAGTGTTAAGACCATTCAGGATCTTGTATACTTCAATCCAGCCACCAGTGAAACTTCAGTGGTAACAAGCCCAGTTTATCCAACCTTCCCCAAAAAGACAACACCCTCATTACAAGTATAAAGTCAGTAAACCTTCACTGAACTGCCTCCAATGTGTTTACATCCTCAAGTGAAAATATTCGAGATGTAGCCTCGCCAATGTCCTATATAATTGAAGCATAACATCATTATTCATACTGTGTGTTCTTCTCATAATGCAGGATAGCGTAGGGAGGGATAAGACCACGGAAGGATTATAATCACAGAGGTGAAAGCATTAAATTTAAGGCATTATCGAGTTGGTTGTCAATGAAAGTCAGCAATTAATTTTTTTGTATTTTCATAAAAGATATGCTGTCAAAGTAGACATTTTGTGCATTGTCTGTCAGGGTCTTAATGACCGGGTAGGAACCTAGCATTCCAATGGTAGGGGGGCACATTAGTGACAATCCTAGTTACAAAAAATTCTGCAGAGTGGACATTACGTTTGTACAGGTGCTTTAAATGTCATGTTCCATCAGCAGCACTGTCAATGTAAATCAATGTAAAGAGACCAAAATGTTACTGGATTTTAGTAACAAGTTTTAGGGAGGTATTACTGTAGCCCAATAATAAAATACTTTAACGCCTAGTAGGGGCTATGAAGGTGATACACATGAGTCAAACAACTTATGGAGTCCTGTCAAAATGTGGGATGTACACACAATTAGTGTCAGTCTGCCACACATTGTGGCATAGTACAGTTACTAAACTTTCAAACATAACTGTCACTTCTGGGAGAAGTACTGGTTTGCAGGAAGGAGCATTCAAGTAGCCTGCTGAAGCTTCAGCTTATTTACTGCATTGGAATGATTGCTCGCCCAATCCTGCTGAACTGACTACTCACTTCCTTGAGAAAATCATTGGCTTAGTGAATTCTGCAAACTCTGATATGAATAATTGTTGGTATCGTAGGGGCTGCTGGAATTGCTGGAAGACAGTAGTGATGCTAGTGCCTGTATAGTGTTCACAATGTGTGTGACAGAGTCTTTCCACACAGAGATAAAATAATTTCTGGAAAATATAGTGCTAACTGTAGTAACTGAGCCTTCATTAGTTTGACCTTTAGATCAAGTGTCATTGATCTGCCCTGATACAGACATTGTTTATACCTTTTAGTGGCCTGCTGAGTTATATGGGTAGTTAAGTGACTTTCTGATAAAAACTTATCAATTGAACCTCCTGATTGGTTCTTACTGTCTAGTAAACCCCCATACCTTAGAACCATTACCAATTTCACAGAACATCATCTTGCCTGGAAATGTGATGGGGACAGGTTAAATTATAGCATTCAAGAGGGCATTAGATGATTATTTGGATAGAAATGTTGTGCAAGGTTCGGGGGAAAAAAAAACTGGAGATTGCTACGAGGTAATGATGCTCATTTGAAGAGCTGGTGCACCATGATTTTGGAGCCGTTCTCAGTCTGAGGATTTCTGTTTGTACCGAATGTCGCAGATAATCTGGATTTCCCATTTCCTTAAACATTTCAGATTCACCGCACAGCAGCCTTCTCAAATCTTCTCGCTACTTTTCTTTGCAGCTTTGTTTCTCTCACACTCCCGAGCAGCCTGCGTGCACAGATGTTAAATTCGCTGCTGTTGTTTAGCTTTCTAACAGAGCACTGAACTCAATGACTTGCAAGCAACAGCTTTCCATTGACGGCTATATCTCCATTCACTCTCCACAATTTATTTCCTATCAATTCCTCCTTTAGCTCGATCTTCATCTTCATGACAATATGCAACAAAAACAGCATTTTTCATAAGTTTTGCCTGTTTGCCTGCCTTTATTTTTGTAGACCTAACCCATTGTTGTATAAAGACACGTTTCTCATTAAGTTAATCTCTTTAATTTGTTTATTTGTGGAATGTGGGCACTGATGGCTGAGCCAGCATTTATTGCCCATTGCTAGTTGTCCTTGAGAAGGTGAGCTGCACTCTTGAATCCACTGTGATTTCCAACATTTTTGTTTTCAGTAGAGATTCCAGCATCAACAGTAATTTGCTCCTCTTGAACTATTGTTATCTGCCTGGTAGGCCATTTCAGAGGCAAATCAAAGACAATCCCTTTCAGGTGATCTGGACTCATCTTCGGGTTAGACCAGGTAAGAACGCAGATGAGAAGACGTGAGTGAAACAGATTGGTTTTATGAGTGTCAACATCATCACTCAGCCCAGCTTTATATTTCAGACTCGTTACTTAAACTGAATTGCTGATCGCTGTCATTGGTGGGATTTAACCTCATGTCCCTATTGCATTAGTCTGGTCCTCTGGATTACGAGTCCACTTTGCCATCAAATCCCCAATTCTTACTCATGCTGCTCAATTGCTGAAGGGTAAATGCGCCACTTACACTCCTAGCATCTTGAACTGGTATCCTCCCAGCTAGTTTACCACCCTTCATCACTCGAGGAATTGTGCTGCAGTTTCTCACTGTATTATTTTCCAGTTCCTGTGGCTAGGGACCAATTGTTGCAGGGGCCCTCATAAGTCACCAAACCCAACTGGACGTAACAAGGAGTTACAAAGGTGTCAAATATTTTATATTTCTTGGAGGACTTCACTTTTGCAGGATTGTGGATAAACGAACTGATTTAAGGTTTTGTGGAAATATCTGGAATGGTTTCTTGAAAAGAGCTTGTTCAAAGGTTACTGTGGACATGGGAGATTATTTTTAAACAAGGCTTCCTGTAAGTGACATGACAGGTGTCCACTGCTTGCTTTACTGTAGATGCCTGCCACGGCTGTTTTGAACAGTGACTGGCTTGGAGATTTTACTTGTTTTGCCTGGTCTTTATTGCAGGTAGAAGAAGCCTTTAAGGAGGGGCTAGCCAGCTGATCTCTTCCATTTTTTCAAACAAACCGGAGTTTAGGGTGAAACCTATCTGTTCTTCTGAAACCGTGATTAAGCAACATTTCAATATTATACTTCTTGAGCAAGCTGTGTCTGCAAGATTCCAGAGACAACCATATATGAGTAGTGACCTTACAGAGGTTTATAAAATCATAAGGGGCATATGAATAGCAAAGGTCTTTTCCCTACGTTAGGGGAGTTCAAAACCAGAAAGCATATTCTTCAGGTGAGAGGAGAAAGATTTAAAAGGGACCTGAGGGACAACTTTTTCACACAGAGGGTGGTTTGGGTGTGGAACGAACTGTGAGAAGAAGTGGTAGATGCAGGTACAGTTAAACATTTAAAATACATTTGGATAGGTGCATGAATGGGAAAGGTTTAAAGGGATAAGGTCCAAATGCAGGCGAGTAGAATTAGTTTAGTTTGGGAAATTTGGTTGGCATGTACACATTGGAGTGAAGGGTCTGTTTTCATGCTGTATGACTCTATGACCCTATAACTTGACCACACGTGCAAGACATCAGGGCAAAATTCCAGAACATTCTACACTTTATCCTTTTGTATTCAAGAATAACCCATTGGCAAAGCATTTTCTTTTCTGAAAGCCAATCTGCTGAAAAAATCTGAAGGGTCTAGGCCCGAAACATCAGCCTTCCTGCTCCTCTGATGGCATTTCTGAAGAAGGGTCTAGGCCCGAAACGTCAGCCTTCCTGCTCCTCTGATGCTGCTTGGCCTGCTGTGTTCATCCAGCTCTACACCTTGTTACCTCTGCTGAAAAAATATATTGTTTTTGTCTTACCATCTAGAGGGACAGAGTGGGGGAGAGAGAGAGAGAGAGAGAGAGAATGTGTGTTGTTTGTGAGTGTGTGTCCATTTGCGTGTTAAAGTTATTCAGACTGATAAATATAGTTCTTTATAATCAACTGTCTATATTAATCAATTATTGCATCTTCATGGAATAAGTTTTGTTTTGATAATAAAACCAATAATGATGTTTCTTAAGAAAGTTGGTTGATGGATCTTTTTATTTCAAACCTGATGTAAATTGGCCATTGCATTAACTGGGAAATGTGTTTATTTTATTATGGGACCCATGGAGTGGTGGGACTACAGCAACAAGATATAAAGATGGTGGACATTGAAACTGGGAGACAGTTCCAGACCCATGCCATCTGAAGGCTGAGTGGTTGGAAGAGCCACACAAATAGGTCAGCTGACACAGAAGAAGGCCCAGAGGAAACAAGGCTAGTTGGTTGTGAACTTTCTCACTCAT